TATCGCTGCCTTACTCGTGTATCAAAAGACAGTCCATGAAGATAAAAAGCAGTTATTCCAGGTGCACAATCGAAAAAGACGTGAAAGTTAATATTATGCGGTTTCGAACCTTGCGTTCTATTGATTTTCAAGGCCTCTGCAGCAGAAACTGAAATTTGTCACGACCTGAAAATTATATGTTTAGAATCTACGGTCCATAAGCTTTCTATCGATGCCTTACTCGTGTATCGAAAGATAGTCCATGAAGAAACAAAGCAGGTTATTCCAGGTGCATAATCGAAAAAGACGTGAAAGTTAATATTATGCGGTTTCCAACCTGATGTTCTATCGACTTTCAAGGCCCTTATAGCAGGGACTTGAATTTGGGCTAGCCTGAAAGTTGTATTTCTGGAATCTACGATCCATAAGCTTTCTGTCGATGCCTCATTCGTTTATCACTAGGCCGGACGTGGAGATAAAAAGCAGTTTTTTCCAGCTGTGTAATCGAAAAAAACGTGAAAGTTAATATTATATAAGTGAGGGTTAGGGTTTGGGCTGTTCGAATCTGATGTTGTATTGAATTTCAAGGCCCCTGTAGCGGCAACGTGAATTTACGCCGGTCTGAAAAATGTATTTTTAGAATCTACGATCCATAAGCTTTCTATCGATGCCTTACTCGTGTATCAAAAGACAGTCCATGAAGATAAAAAGCAGGTTATTCCAGGTGCATAATCGAAAAAGACGTGAAAGTTAATATTATGCGGTTTCGAACCTGATGTTCTATTGACTTTCAAGGCCCTTGTTGTAGAGACTTGAATTTGGGCCAGCCTCAGAATTGTATTTCTGAAATCTACGATCCATAAGCTTTCTGTCGATGCCTCATTCGTGCATCACTAGGCCGGACGTTGAGATAAAAAGCAGTTTTTTCCAGCTGTGTAATCGAAAAAAACGTGAAAGTTAGTATTATATAAGTGAGGGTTAGGGTTTGGGCTGTTTCGAATCTGATGTTCTGTTGAATTTCAAGGTCCCTGTAGCGGGAATGTGAATTTCTCACGCTCTGAAAATTGTATTTTTAGAATCTACGGTCCATAAGCTTTCTATCGATGCCTTACTGGTGTATCAAAAGATAGTCAATGAAGAAACAAAGCAGGTTATTCCAGGTGCACAATCGAAAAAGACGTGAAGTTAATATTATGCGGTTTCCAACCTGATGTTCTATCGACTTTCAAGGCCCTTATAGCAGAGACTTGAATTTGGGCTAGCCTGGAAGTTGCATTTCTGGAATCTACGATCCATAAGCTTTCTGTCGATGCCTCACTCGTTTATCACTAGGCCGGACGTGGAGATAAAAAGCAGTTTTTTCCAGCTGTGTAATCGAAAAAAACGTGAAAGTTAATATATATATAAGTGAGGGTTAGGGTTTGGGCTGTTCGAATCTGATGTTGTATTGAATTTCAAGGTCCCTGTAGCGGAAACGTGAATTTACGCCGGTCTGAAAAATCTATTTTTAGAATCTACGATCCATAAGCTTTCTATCGATGCCTTACTCGTGTATCAAAAGACAGTCCATGAAGATAAAAAGCAGTTATTCCAGGTGCACAATCGAAAAAGACGTGAAAGTTAATATTATGCGGTTTCGAACCTTACGTTCTATTGATTTTCAAGGCCTCTGCAGCAGAAACTGGAATTTGTCACAGTCTGAAAATTATATGTTTAGAATCTACGGTCCATAAGCTTTCTATCGATGCCTGATTCGTGTATCAAAAGACAGTTCATGAAGAAACAAAGCAGGTTATTCCAAGTGCATAATCGAAAAAGACGTGAAAGTTAATATTATGCGGTTTCCAACCTGATGTTCTATCGACTTTCAAGGCCCTTATAGCAGAGACTTGAATTTGGGCTAGCCTGAAAGTTGTATTTCTGGAATCTACGATCCATAAGCTTTCTGTCGATGCCTCATTCGTTTATCACTAGGCCGGACGTAGAGATAAAAAGCAGTTTCTTCCAGCTGTGTAATCGAAAAAGACGTGAAAGTTAGTATTATATAAGTGAGGGTTAGGGTTTGGGCTGTTTCGAATCTGATGTTCTATTGAATTCCAAGGTCCCTGTAGCGGAAACGTGAATTTACGCCGGTCTGAAAAATGTATTTTTAGAATCTACGATCCATAAGCTTTCTATCGATGCCTTACTCGTGTATCAAAAGATAGTCCATGAAGAAACAAAGCAGGTTATTCCAGGTGCATAATCGAAAAAGACGTGAAAGTTAATATTATGCAGTTTCGAACGTGATGTTCTATCGACTTTCAAGGCCCTTATAGCAGAGACTTGAATTTGGGCCGGTCTTAGAATTGTGTTTTTAGTATCTACGTTCCTATGCCTTCTGTCGATGCCTGATTCGTGCATCATTAGACGATAAAAAAACAGGTTTTTACAGCTGCATGTATAGTCGAACAAAACGTGAAACTCGAAAATTATTTTCGAACCTTTCCCTGCCCAAAATGATTCCGACACAACCAGGAATCGAACGTAGCTTCTCACACGTGTAACGCTTTGTTCTTACCACTAGACCACATAGCCTACACTGGCTTTAACTCCCTTTGTTATTCTACTTAACTCTTTCTCGTCTCGGCTGGAATTAATAAACAACAATGCCTGACATTAAAATGCTTTGGGCACAACCAGGAATCGATCCTGGCTTTACGCACTTGCAACACTTCGTCTTTACCACTAGACCATCTCGCCTACACTTGCTTTAACTCCTTTTTTATTCTACTTAAGTCTTTCTCGTCTCGTGTGGAATTAATAAACAACGATGCCTGACATTAAAATGCTTTGGGCACAACCAGGAATCGATCCTGGCTTAACGCACTTGCAACACTTCGTCTTTACCACTAGACCATCTCGCCTACACTTGCTTTAACTCCTTTTTTATTCTACTTAAGTCTTTCTCGTCTCGTGTGGAATTAATAAACAACGATGCCTGACATTAAAATGCTTTGGGCACAACCAGGAATCGATCCTGGCTTAACGCACTTGCAACACTTCGTCTTTACCACTAGACCATCTCGCCTACACTTGCTTTAACTCCTTGCTTTAACTCCTTTCATATATGCTTGTATTAGCGTGCTTATGAGAATCCCTCTCATAAGCACGCTCATATATGCTTGTATTGTAAACAATCAAATTGGTGAAAGGTCTAAGCAAGGACTAAGCAAGTAAATCATTATCTAGTATTTGATAAATCTTTACATCCCAGTAAAATGAGCAATTGCTTCGAATTACAAAAGAATAAACTCATCTGGAATGGCGACTTAAGCGAATTAAAGTCTTACGTCGCAGAAACGTTAAATATAAACGGTAAATGGAAGTCACCATCTGGGGGACGCTGGTTATTTACTAGCGATGCTTTGTCTATAACCTGGTATTGTAAAAGCAAGACTGTCTTATTTCAAGGTCCTCGTGGCAGCGAGGTGGCTGACTCTTTGAAGAGAAATATCGATGCATCGCGAACCGTAATAGTGAAAAATGCCGAGCTAAACATTGCTACCCCTGCTGCTTCCGAAAGACGGAATGAGTCTATCGATAACCAGTATCGTCTCAGTTTTAACAATTCTAACTCGAGCATGTTTGATAGATCTAGCAATACCACAACAACTATCAACCGAAGCGACTCGGATACTAGCGAAGGAAAAGCAAATGGGCAAGAAGTGTGTTCAGACAAGCAGAACGAAGGCGATTATATAATGAATTGCAAAGACTGTAGTAAATTATCTGTAGAAGTAGCAGAAATAAAATTGGACTTGGCTTTACTATTCCTAAAAGTTAATACTGCTGAGGCGCCGGATACATGTGAATGCGATCGGCTACGAGGCGAAAATCAGCTATTGAAAGAAGAAATTAAACTACTCAAGGAAACACTGCAAGGCATGGAATTGTCAAAATCGCCAATTAACATCGCTTTCGATAATATGAATAATCAACCAACCGTCACAGACAATGACTCTGTCGTGCTAATTGATATAGAAGAATCCGAAGTGAACGTAAACACTAGTATGAATAATTTACTATCTGCAATAGACAATGACAAACAATATAATACCCGAGGGCCAGTTGTTAATGACTCTCTTATGAAATATAGCAATCCCAATAAACCAGTTGGTCATGCTGATGAACCAGTCGTCCATGACTCCCTGACCTCATTTGACCATCTCCTAAAAGAAAAGGCCGCTTTAAATGCCAGCACGCACCGTCATAAGAGGAATCAAGTGCATAGTTCTCTAACTAACACAACACGTTTTTCGAAACCTAATTACCGGCGCAATCAGTTTTCCAAGCCTAAATATCAATATCGTCAAACAAATTTTCCCTCAAAGAATTTTCGAAGCGGTCGCTATCGAAGGATTCCGAAACCAAGAACAACAACCGCAGTAAGTACAGACACAAGAGCAAGCCAAGTCAACCCGATATTCAAAGTGAAACCTTTCCAATCAAAGTCAGAGTTACAGCTCGGAGAAACGAAGTCCTGGGAAGCCTACCTACAGTTCGTCAACCGCACCTTGGACCAGTTTGGAACCCTTGTCTAGGCGCAATCCAACGGACATGTGATAATCATACCTCTCAGAGGAAGGTAAATTTTAACAATTTAATTAACATTAAAACTAATACAAACTCTCTCCCCCCCCCATTGGAAAGCGCTGCCTGCCCAACCTTCTCATTTCCAATGTGCGCTCAATTGCCTCTAAGATAGATGAATTAAGTGTCGTTGTTTCCATCAACCAAATCGACATTGTGTGTATTACTGAGACTTGGCTTTCCTCTATGATTCCCGACTCGGCAATATCTCTTCCAAATTTTAATATTATTAGAAATGATCGCTCTTCATCTTGTGGAGGTGGAGTGTGCATTTTTATAAACAACAGTATATATTGTCAACGCCTAACTGCTTTTGAAGATCCTACAGTTGAGTCCTTGTGGCTCCTCGTTAGACCCACATGGCTCCCCCGCTCAACTTCAGTTTTACTATTGGCTGTAATCTACCACTCCACATCAGCTGGCCACACCAAAAATGTAAACCTTTATTCTCATATCCAAACCAATGTTGATACTTTCATGCAATCACATCCTGATGTCCTTGTTTTAATCACAGGAGACTTCAATTATAGGAGTACTGGTTTCAACGCAAAATATATCCAAAGATCAATTGGCCTTTTCCAAATAATTAAGGTGCATACTAGAGATAATGTAACCTTAGACTGGTGCCTAACTAACCGCAATGATAGCTTATACGATCCTATCAAATTTCCACCTCTAGGAAACAGTGATCATAACATGGTTTGTTTAAAATCCCTAAATCCCCCTTTAAAACCTGATAAAGTCAAGGTATGGAAGCGGGACCTTAGGGAAAGCTCGTTACAACCTTTTGGCCGCTGGATAACTTCATTTGATTGGTCAGATATTTTTACTACAAATGCGTGCGAAGATAAATATGGAAAATTTAATGACATAATGAGTGATATGATTGATATTTTACTCCCTTTGAAAAGAACTAAAGTAACTAAATGTGACAAACCATGGCTGACGTCATCAATAAAAGAGTTAATTATAAAACGTCAAAAAGCTCTCCATTATTATGGGAAAAATTCTGATGCGTATAAACTCTGGCGAAACCAAGTCCAGCAATCAATTAAATCGGCCCGATTTAAGTATTATGCCCAATCAGTTGAGAAACTAAAAACTTCCAATCCCTCAAGATGGTGGAAAGAAATTAAGTCGTTGGGTGGTATATCTTCCAAAAGTTGTTGGTATAATCAACTACTTTCTAATGATATTCCTAATTGCCATGACTTGGCTGAAGTATTTAACTGTTTCCTTTCCGGTCTTACATCACATTTTACTCCTTTAACACGCGAGGAAGAACAATTGGATTTCAATGTACCAGGTGAATACCTCATCGACGCTAATAAAGTGTACAATGAACTCCGCAAAATTAAAACCAATAAAATCCCTGGTCCGGATATGATACCTAACAAAATTTTGAAAGTCTTTGCATATGAACTTGCTCCAGTTATAACGGACATTTACAATTCGTCTATCATTCAGGGCGTGTTTCCGATGAACCTCAAACGGTCTATTGTAGTTCCAATCCCTAAAGTCTCACTACGTCAAAGCGTGGAGGACGATCTAAGACCCATATCATTAACGTCCCAAATTTCTAAGGTCATGGAGGGGTTCACCTTGACAAAATTATTTGCCCAAATTGAGAGTAAATTGGACACGAAGCAGTTTGCGTTACCAGGGAAATCTACGACTCACGCCCTAACATACCTCCTGCACACCATTTTGTCTTCCCTTGAGAACACTTTCTGCTCCGCTAGATTGTTTTTTGCAGACTTTAAAAAGGGGTTCAATCTTGTTGATCATAATGTCATAATATGCGAGCTGGAAAATCTTGGTGTACATCCTGCCATAGTGAGGTGGATAAAAGCTTTTCTTAGCAACCGTGAACAGTGTGTGCGAATTGAAAACTCATACTCGTCGTGGAAGAAAACAAACGGTGGTCTACCACAAGGAACAAAACTAGGACCGCTACTTTTTGCAGTCCTTGTAAATTCTTTGCTCAAGGATTGGCCTGGGAGAGTCAAATTTGTCGACGATACTACAGTCTTGGAAATAATTCCACGATGTTCACCCAGCTTCCTACCAATTATCGTGGACCAAATATCCGATTATGCAAACGAACGAGGAATGAGACTAAATCCAAAGAAATGCAAAGATATGGTTATTACGTTTCTTAAGTATAAACTGGTAGAAAATGACATTTTTATAGGCGGCGATGTGGTGGAGAGAGTCTCCAGTTTTAAACTACTAGGCGTGTAGTTGACTAACAATCTTTCGTGGGATATACACGTAGATAAAATTTTAAAGAAAGCGAATTCACGCATCTATGCTTTACGCCTATTAAAGAAAGCTGGATTGAGCCCTTTAAACATTGTTCATATTTATTGTGCAGTTATAAGATCCCAGTTGGAGTATGCATCACCAGTTTGGTCCGCTCTTCCAAAGACATTATCAGACCTTATTGAGTCGGTGCAAAAAAGAGCTTTAAAAATCGCGTATCCCCATCTATCTTATGATGAAGCATTACACAAAAGTAACATTAAACTACTGAGTACAAGAAGAGAAGAAGCATGTAGGAAATTAATTAACTCACTTCGAGACCAAGATTCGCCACACAACCCTTTAACTGCAATAGTTAAATCCGGTCTACCAGACCGAACTCATAATTATGATCTGCGTAATAATAATCCGCAACTCTTACCGATTATGTCTGAACGGTTAAAGAACTTTTTTACCATTAAACATAGTTAACATTTTATTAATACATTTTTATAATAGGTAGTTAATAATAAGTATATAACATTGTTAACGTAAATTTTAATATTTAATATTGTAAATATCCTTTCCATGTAATTCAGCTTTAGCTGCAAAATGGATTTTATTAAACTAATAATAATCATTTTCAGCTCTGAACTTGAGAAGGTATAGTTTGACTTGAGAGGGTATAAACTATAATTAAACTTGTATGAATATATCATAGGACGCAAAAGTATATAGCTACTATAATACATTTATGAAAACGTAAATACCGATCAAGGAGTGCATGAACATCGTATTTTATTTATGTTCTATCTGAGTGGTTTATGCGCAAACTTTGTTAGTGACTTAAGATCTATACCTTCGACCAGCTGCAATCGTCCAAGAGCCGAGTTATAGAATACAGTAGAGCTAGCTATAATTCATATATCGTTTGACATTTGACAATCGCAACGGGGTATTTTATTCCGCAAGTTATTTTAGTTGAATCAATTTTATAATATTTTCTCCCTTGGCCTGGTGAACAAGCTTGTGATCAAATATCATTGCGTTAGGCATTATATACAAATAATGAATGTTTATGAGTGCAATGCTAAGAATGTTTTCATGAGGTGAAAGCTGGAATGTTCCGTTCAACGAGGCTACAGCTGAGTTGAATGGAACATTCCATCTTTCACCGAATGAAAATATTCTTACCATTGCACGAAGAAACATTCATCATTTGTTTTATATAATACCAAAATAGTTTAAATAGACTAATAGATTCGTATGAGAAGCATTTTGAGGGATGCGATTTATCGAAAACACGAAGAGTGCAATTGTACTATACGTTTTATTCCATTGCACTCGCAGAGAGTGCAATGGAACGTGTTCTATTGCACTCTTGGGAAATGGAATTTTCTATTCAATATTACGTGATCATAAACAGCCAATTAAACGATTAGAATTTAATAAGGTATTATATAATATACACTTCTCATCTATTGTATACAGTTCTCGACTATCGCTTACATTTCTCGATACACTTTTGTCAGTTTAGCTTGCCATACCTTTGCACGATATTTTTTTAAGATGACCTAGAAAATTTTTCCCGGAATGTTCCCCGAAAAGCTCGTCCACGGGGGGGGGGGACCGTTGAAGGGCTGGCGAGATTCTTAAACTACCTACAAGTTGGAAACTTGTGATTGCATTTACATTTTACAAACCTTGCCAAACTTCTGACGGCCATGCAATGCCACCAAGTCGATTGCGCAGCTTCTAAAAATAAAGCATCATTACTATTATCATTTATACATGTGCACTCATGGCGGTCACTATAACTTTTGCGTGCTATCACAAGTTTCTGGTGGTGATGATTTGTCATTCTAATTCTACTCGCTCTAATGTCAAGAAACTCGTGTTATGCCACGTTTGATGCATGCAAATTACATTTTGGCCAAACAGATTGTTGGACCTGGAACATGCAGAACTGCTAAATAGGCAGTTCTGAGGTGTTAGCAGTTAACCTGCAGGTATGTTCCACTTACGTCAGCATTTTTCGCGGAGCTCTTACCCATGTCAGTTAGTTTCCAGGCCAATCGTGAGACTGGGCGCGCCCCGCCTGGTTTGAAACAGGTTCGAAACGTATCACATTTGTTCTAGAAGGTTTCAAGTTGTTATTTGAATTTTGTTCTAAAAGGTTTTGGATTGTTACTTCAAAGTTTGTTACATACATACACATGCAAAAATTTATTTAAGCACGCTGGCCTCAACAACTCGGAGCTGATTTCCATGAGGGGCGTGATTTGTAAAGAATATAATGCACAGATAAACATTAAAAATACAAAAACAAAGAAAGAAGAATTACATATACAGTAGGCAACAGGACGAGCCAATTCTAAGTGTTTGCCTGATTAATAGTTCTTTGAAAAGAACTTAAATTTTCCGCTACTTTTACCTCATACGGTAAATTATTCCATACTACCGCTCCGTTATATTAGTTAACATGCACAACTGAACGAAAATGAATGCATAACCTCATTAAACAAACGATCTATTCGAAATGCATATAAACTGGCCTGCTCATTGGTAGAGACAGCACATTAATTATGAACTATCGTCTGATATTGAACGAATAATTATAATCACATACCGTTCGACGTAACAAACGAGCTAATTCTCATTGGTTGAGACAGCTGACAGCACATCATGAATTTGCGACTGGTATTACACAGCGGACGGACTTATACTCGCAAGGACAACACAATTATAAGTTGTTCGAAATCCATTGTCAAATATTCAATATTTTAAAACGGACTCGACACTTGCGGATGTTAAACTACAAAACAAATGTTCACATTAACAGGCATGCAGGCATTGCTGTAATTTGTTGAAAAAGTACGGACCATTAAACTCACAAAGTTAGGAAACAAAACTCCCTCAATACGTAGAGTTGGGATGTTCGCTTGGTCACCAGTTATTGCAAGGAATAACAATTTATAGAATTAATGCATGATTTACTTCGTTATTTAAGCTGAGATACCTTTCTTCCTGTAACAATTATTCAATATCCCTACTCAGTACACACAAATAAACGGAGAATAAAAGATTAAAGGGGAAGTCAAGTCCGTTCTGCGCTTCGGTTCTGCTCATAACAATGTGAGGGCCCTCTGATGTAAACATTGCCCAAATTTCGAATGTTTCGAATTTTTCTGAACATAAACTCTATTTCATATTCATTTAGAAGCATAGCGAACCAAAATAGTGTTAGATATTCAGACAGTACATCATATTTTAAAA